TTCCCCTAAGATCATTTTTATCTTGTAGCCCATCATGCTAGACCACCATATGACTCAACCAAACCCAGGTCGATGAAGGTAGAGTGTTAACTGTTCTGAGCCCAGATCATGTCTCCTTTGATCGATTATCCGACAAACTATTCCTACAGGTCGAGTTTCTACTAGGATTTTTGAGGGCCTTAGCTCAACATGTTCTCGTTGTGTCAAAACCCCTTATGTTGTTCTCCAAGTCGATGGCTCTTGCTCCTGGGTTGGTGATGCTCGACCACCAATAGCTTTGCTCTGGTGCTGATCGACTAGGCATTTCGGCCGGCCTAGTCGACCGTTTGCATCCACATCCCATCATTAATAAGTCATTTAAATGACACACTACACCATTCAAACCAATGCAACCATTCATTTGATTGGTATTAATGGTGGGACCCATGACATTTATTTAATCTATTGAATGCCATTCAATAGAAATTTTATTATATGAATATAGGAATGAGTCTAATATATATGTATTTAAATGAGTAAATAGGACTGTAGGTGGGAAAATTTCACTTTTGGTACCTAAAGTTTACCTACTTTTCAGTTTTGATACCCGTTGTTTTAACTTAATCAATTGTAGTCACTAACGTATTCAAAATCCATCATTATTGCCCAAATCGTCAGTTGACCGTGAGTCAACTGACCACCACCTTCTCTAGCAGGTCATCTTCTTCTGCAAGTGATAGAAAATGGCGGGCATCTCCATTACAGCACCACAAAGCCGCCGAAAGTGAGGGGAAAAAAAAAGAATTTGAAGATGAGCAGTTCAAGAGGAAGCTGGAACTCTCGCTGGAACTCCGAGATTAATGGTGCTCCAATGGAGATGACCTGCAATTGTGGAGATAAAGTATACTTGAAGACCTCTTGGACTCGAAATAATCCGGGAAGAAGATATTGGGCATGCCCTAAATATGGGGTAATTAATTATTTTGTTTTTGTTTTCATTTTAGTTTTAATTTGCGCCTAATGTAAATTAAGAAGAATTTGTAAAAAAAAAAAAATTGCAGAACTTTGGTTTTTGCGGATTTTTTATATGGTTTGATCTGGAAATTTGCGAAAGAGCAAAGAATATTATACCCGGTTTGCTGGATAAATCAAATAAACATCAACATCAGATTGAGCAGTACAAGTTGAAGATTGCTGAAATGGAAGCTCAGTACAAGTTGAATATTGCTGAAATAGAAGCTCAATACAAGTTGAATATTGCTGGAATAGAAGCTCAGTTGTTGGTGGCAATGAACAAGGT